CAAATAGTACTAAAATATAATTTTTGATTCATTTGATAATTAATAGCTGTTTCATGTATATGGTTTCTTTCATTGATTGTATTAGCATAAATTTCCATGTATGCATCATAAAAATTGACTGAGCTTTGTTATTGGGTATGGAGCTGCATAGGATTCGAAAATTCTCCTTCACCATTTGGGATTTAACTATTTTGGTTTGTAAGCCATAAGGCATGAGTTTTAACCATTTGGATTTGATGAATATATTGATGGATAAATATTGATTTGGTTGATATATTGAATATGTTTATTAGGATTTTGATATTGAATATGTTGATTAGGATTTGGATATTGAATATGTTGAATCTTTGAATTTGTAACTTAGACATCACTTATTTTGGTGAATGAATATGTTGAATATTGAATTGGTTCATTTTTTTGTTGTGTCATTTTGATACTGAAATGGTACCGATACCATACCGATATTGATTTGGCATGGTACGATACAATACCAATTTTGGCAAGCCATAATCCTTATTACATTATATATGTCTCTATCATCCTTAAATTTGTTGCCGTGATCAATGGCGAACTCAAGAATTTTTATAAGGGTAGGCTAAATTTTTTTACAGTAGATATATTATAAGCCTTTTTTTTTTCTTGAAACAAAAATGTAAATAAAATTTTATAAATCAAACAAGGCCACCTTACGAGCAAATATAACACAAAGAAGTACAAAATATAAATAAATATAAAATTAAGCACATTGTTCAACTATTTGAGATCCGAGTTGAGTAAGTTCCTTAGGAATTGAAGTATTAACATCATATGCAAAAGGTGTATCCTTATTATCATGACCACTTTTTTTGAATAATGAAGAAATACTTTTTCCTCTCTTTGCCAGTTTATTATTATCATGTGACATGATATCCTAACAAGAAATACTAGACACCAAAAATCATATATGCTAGTTAATAATTCAAGTTGCAAAAATAAAACATATATAACAATCCCCAAAAGTTTTCACCCAAACGCTAAATCATAAAAACTTAACAACAACAATTAAAATTGAAAATTGAATAAACAAAAGAGTAAAACTTACCAAGATAGGTTGGTACAATTTTTCAGAGGGGGAGAGCTAATTCTTCTAGGCTCTGAAGGTTCAAATATGACGTTTTGGGTGCCTAGAAGAAAAAGTTTGATGTTTTCTTCTAATCAAATTTATATAGGTTATAGATTGCATGTTTACTATTTCCTATATGGTTCAAGAATGGGCTTATTTCTATACAGAGAGCTAGACTTATTTTAAATAGAGGCCTAGACTATTATTTTACCTAAATTTGGCTTATACCACTAAGTCAGGGGCGGAGGCACGTAAGGACCAGTGCAGTCACTGGCCC